CTTCCATGTTTATGAGACAGAAAAAAGGACACTAGCAATCCTACCATCATGTAAAACAATTACAGGCTTTTGCTTCACACTCACTTGGCAGGATGGTAGTGAGTATAAAACGAAAGCCTGTAACTGTTTTACATGATGGTAGAATTGCTGGTGTCTTTTTTCTGTCTCAAACATGCAAGATTTCAGGTACGTCTTGCTACTTCCACTTCACTTGGGTCGGGTCACACTACACATGCATGTACAAGCATATACACACCTCTCTGGGTTTTCTTCTATTTTCTTACTAGTTCTTGTTCTTGTTTATTTCCTCTTATCTCCCTGGGAAAGTGGAACAGAATTCTTCCTCTATAAGCCATGTGTGTCGTAAGAGATGACTAAAATGCCAGGAGCAAGGGGTTAGTACTCCTTCTCCTGTATACATTGCTAATATTAAAAAGAGGAACTTCAGTGGAAAGTGGCCGATTTGTTGAAAGAAGAAAAAATTTAAAAAAAGCTTACAGTAGAGAGAAACCTCCAAGTTCACAAGAGAGCAGAGCAAGCCTTTGTTTTAAGACTATTATTACTCAAGAACAACCTGATAAAACCATACAATAGAGTAAACACATACTATCAAATATATTCCAGTTGGTGAGGTGTAGTGCTAATGAGTACAAGATGTCACAAGGTCAAGGTACAGGCAGTGTAGTAGTATAGAGTACAGGATGTCAAAAGGTCAAGGTACAAGCAGTGTAGTGGTGTAGAGTACAGGATGTCACAAGGTCAAGGTACAAGCAGTGTAGTGGTGTAGAGTACAGGATGTCACAAGGTCAAGGTACAGGCAGTGTAGTAGTGTAGATACAGATGCCACAAGGTCAAGGTACAGGCAGTGTAGTAGTGTAGAGTACAGGATGCCACAAGGTCAAGGTACAGGCAGTGTAGTAGTGTAGAGTACAGGATGCCACAAGGTCAAGGTACAGACAGTGTAGTAGTGTAGAGAACAGGATGTCACAAGGTCAAGGTACAGGCAGTGTAGTGGTGTAGAGTACAGGATGTCACAAGGTCAAGGTACAGGCAGTGTAGTGGTGTAGAGTACAGGTTGCCACAAGGTCAAGGTACATGCAGTGTAGTAGTGTAGAGTACAGGATGTCACCCAGTCAGGCCACATGTTAATTTTATTTTTCTATTCTTGCACCAATTAAACAAATAGTGACCTCTAGAATAACTAATTCACTACAGATCAACACTATAAATATTACTCAGTCAACTATGTAAACAATATCTTCAGCATCAACAATGTTAGAGACTTCAGTACACACCACAAATACATCAATGTCAAATACTTCAGTAGACACCACAATGACATCAATGTACAACAATGTACAATGTCCAACGTACAATGTCAAGGTTGGGAACCAAGTCAATCATAGTACTAGAGGGAGAGAGAGCACAACTTTGTAGTACCCACAGTCATTGGCCAGGCTTCAAACACCTTTTATTGTACAGCAATAAAGGAATGGAACAGACTGCCCGCACATGTCAAAGCCAGTCATAGCATGAACCAGTTCAAGAAGAGTGCCAAAAGGTGTCTGATGAACGTAGCTACAGAAAGGGAGGGGAATGATTTCCTATTTTTTAGCTAACATACGTGATAATTTTACCTTATTCCTAGTAATGACCCTTGTATTGTAGATAGTCTTAATGGCCCTCGTGTAGTAGATAGTCTTTTTAGTATGATAATAAGATGTTATCTTCATTATAGAATAATAAGAAATATTATAACCTTTATATTATAATAATAGGGTAAAAGGACCCCAATGGAAATAATTCACTCTGTCTGACTTTTTTGGGTTATCCCAGGTTCTCTACACATATGCTGCTATGTATGATAATTCTATGTAACTGTATTTGTGTATACCTGAATAAACTTACATGTTTATAGAGGGGCCACAGATATATCAGATCACTTTCTAGTTGTAGCTACACTGAGAGTAAAAGGTAGATGGGATACAAGGAAAATAGAAGCATCAGGGAAGAGAGAGGTGAAGGTTTATAAACTAAAAGAGGAGGCAGTTAGGGTAAGATATAAACAGCTATTGGAGGATAGATGGGCTAATGAGAGCATAGGCAATGGGGTCGAAGAGGTATGGGGTAGGTTTAAAAATGTAGTGTTAGAGTGTTCAGCAGAAGTTTGTGGTTACAGGAAAGTGGGTGCAGGAGGGAAGAGGAGCAACTGGTGGAATGATGATGTAAAGAGAGTAGTAAGGGAGAAAAAGTTAGCATATGAGAAGTTTTTACAAAGTAGAAGTGATGCAAGGAGGGAAGAGTATATGGAGAAAAAGAGAGAGGTTAAGAGAGTGGTGAAGCAATGTAAAAAGAGAGCAAATGAGAGAGTGGGTGAGATGTTATCAACAAATTTTGTTGAAAATAAGAAAAAGTTTTGGAGTGAGATTAACAAGTTAAGAAGGCCTAGAGAACAAATGGATTTGTCAGTTAAAAATAGGAGAGGAGAGTTATTAAATGGAGAGTTAGAGGTATTGGGAAGATGGAGGGAATATTTTGAGGAATTGTTAAATGTTGATGAAGATAGGGAAGCTGTGATTTCGTGTATAGGGCAAGGAGGAATAACATCTTGTAGGAGTGAGGAAGAGCCAGTTGTGAGTGTGGGGGAAGTTCGTGAGGCAGTGGGTAAAATGAAAGGGGGTAAGGGAGCCGGGATTGATGGGATAAAGATAGAAATGTTAAAAGCAGGTGGGGACATAGTTTTGGAGTGGTTGGTGCAATTATTTAATAATTGTATGGAAGAGGGTAAGGTACCTAGGGATTGGCAGAGAGCATGCATAGTTCCTTTGTATAAAGGCAAAGGGGATAAAAGAGAGTGCAAAAAATTATAGGGGGATAAGTCTGTTGAGTCCTAGGTAGTAGGTTGGTAGAAAGCAACCACCCAGGGAGGTACTACCGTCCTGCCAAGTGAATGTAAAACGAAAGCCTGTAATTGTTTTACATGATGGTAGGATTGCTGGTGTCCATTTTTCTGTCTCATAAATATGCAAGGTTTCAGGTACGTCTTGCTACTTCTACTTACACTTAGGTCACACTACACATACATGTACAAGCATATATATATACACACATCCCTCTGGGTTTTCTTCTATTTTCTTTCTAGTTCTTATTCTTGTTTATTTCCTCTTATCTCCATGGGGAAGTGGAATAGAATTCTTCCTCCGTAAGCCATGCGTGTTGTAAGAGGCAACTAAAATGCCGGGAGCAAGGGGCTAGTAACCTCTTCTCCTGTATATATTACTAAATGTAAAAGGAGAAACTTTCGTTTTTCCTTTTAGGCCACCCCGCCTCGGTGGGATACGGCCGGTGTGTTGAAAGAAAGAAGTCTGTTGAGTATACCTGGTAAAGTGTATGGTAGAGTTATAATTGAAAGAATTAAGAGTAAGACGGAGAATAGGATAGCAGATGAACAAGGAGGCTTTAGGAAAGGTAGAGGGTGTGTGGACCAGGTGTTTACAGTGAAACATATAAGTGAACAGTATTTAGATAAGGCTAAAGAGGTCTTTGTGGCATTTATGGATTTGGAAAAGGCGTATGACAGGGTGGATAGGGGGGCAATGTGGCAGATGTTGCAAGTGTATGGTGTAGGAGGTAGGTTACTGAAAGCAGTGAAGAGTTTTTACGAGGATAGTGAGACTCAAGTTAGAGTATGTAGGAAAGAGGGAAATTTTTTCCCAGTAAAAGTAGGCCTTAGACAGGGATGTGTGATGTCACCGTGGTTGTTTAATATATTTATAGATGGGGTTGTAAGAGAAGTAAATGCGAGGGTCTTGGCAAGAGGCGTGGAGTTAAAAGATAAAGAATCACACACAAAGTGGGAGTTGTCACAGCTGCTCTTTGCTGATGACACTGTGCTCTTGGGAGATTCTGAAGAGAAGTTGCAGAGATTGGTGGACGAATTTGGTAGGGTGTGCAAAAGAAGAAAATTAAAGGTGAATACAGGAAAGAGTAAGGTTATGAGGATAACAAAAAGATTAGGTGATGAAAGATTGAATATCAGATTGGAGGGAGAGAGTATGGAGGAGGTGAACGTATTCAGATATTTGGGAGTGGACGTGTCAGCGGATGGGTCTATGAAAGATGAGGTGAATCATAGAATTGATGAGGGAAAAAGAGTGAGTGGTGCACTTAGGAGTCTGTGGAGACAAAGAACTTTGTCCTTGGAGGCAAAGAGGGGAATGTATGAGAGTATATTTTTTACCAACGCTCTTATATGGGTGTGAAGCGTGGGTGATGAATGTTGCAGCGAGGAGAAGGCTGGAGGCAGTGGAGATGTCATGTCTGAGGGCAATGTGTGGTGTGAATATAATGCAGAGAATTCGTAGTTTGGAAGTTAGGAGGAGGTGCGGGATTACCAAAACTGTTGTCCAGAGGGCTGAGGAAGGGTTGTTGAGGTGGTTCGGACATGTAGAGAGAATGGAGCGAAACAGAATGACTTCAAGAGTGTATCAGTCTGTAGTGGAAGGAAGGCGGGGTAGGGGTCGGCCTAGGAAAGGTTGGAGGGAGGGGGTAAAGGAGGTTTTGTGTGCGAGGGGCTTGGACTTCCAGCAGGCATGCGTGAGCGTGTTTGATAGGAGTGAATGGAGACAAATGGTTTTTAATACTTGACGTGCTCTTGGAGTGTGAGCAAAGTAACATTTATGAAGGGATTCAGGGAAACCGGCAGGCCAGACTTGAGTCCTGGAGATGGGAAGTACAGTGCCTGCACTCTGAAGGAGGGGTGTTAATGTTGCAGTTTAAAAACTGTAGTGTAAAGCACCCTTCTGGCAAGACAGTGATGGAGTGAATGATGGTGAAAGTTTTTCTTTTTCGGGCCACCCTGCCTTGGTGGGAATCGGCCAGTGTGACAATAAAAAAAAAAAAAAAATTCCTAACAATGATTTTAACCCTAGTTTGGTTTCAGGCAAAACAAGAATTACCTTAGGGGAAGAGAGAGTGCTGTCGAGTGTATCGTCAGAGTTTGGTGACTGGTGCATGAGTAGGTCGAACAAGATGACAGAACCAAGTGAATGGCCACCCAGAGACACTTGTCCACTGAAGGCTGGGTTGCGCTCACAGAACACTGAGTACAAGCGATTCATCTCTGATGCTACTGTATCCATGATGTGCTGAAACAAAGTCAATTTTGACTGATAAGTAGAATAAAATCAGTCTTTATACATGCCTGAAACAAAGTCATTCTTTACTCAACCCTGGAACAAAGTCTTTCCCTACTCCTGGAACAAAGTCTTTACCCACTCCTGGAAGAAAGTCTTTCCCCACTCCTGGAACAAAGTCTTTACCCACTCCTGGAACAAAGTTAGTCTTTATGCCAGGCACTATATTAGTTTTAACATACTCCTGTAACAAAGTTTTAAGATACTCCTGGAATAAATAATAATAATAATGATGACAATAATCATAATTTATTTTGATATGATACATATTTGTACAAAGGAATATAACAGTTGGGTGTACATGCCAAAAGCCCTTTTAAATGCAGAGCATTTCAGGCAAACATGAAGCTAACTTAAGATTAATAAGGCAATAACAGTGCATATGGTCATTAGACAAGTTACAATGAATAAAAGAGTAAGGAGTATTCTATCAGGTAATGCTATATGGCTTTAAAAAGTCTTGGCTTTAATAAGTTTTGATTAACATTTGAGGTGAGTACAGATACCAAGAGTAAGTACATAACGATTGAAAGTTTTACCTATGTTCATGATACTGAGCAAATGCATGTATAGTTTTTACATATGTATTTATGATGGACTGGGATAGGTTATGGAGATAAGGTGTTTCCTAACTGTAGTTTTAAAAATGCTGAGCCAATGGTTCTGGAGATTTTTGGCAGAGTGCTCCAGATTTTGGGCCCTTGATGCAGGGAATGTCACAGAGATTTTTGTGCCTAGTATTGTGTCTATGGGTCCTATTGCAACTGTCAAGAAAGCACTTCAGGTTGGGATTCATATTACAATTGATTGTTCAGTAAATGTAGGTTGCACAGTAGTATGAGAGAATGTTTTGTTTATAGGTCTTTGAAGAGTGGGGCGAGGGTGTTGTCTAGCTGCGGATTTGTGTGATCATTCGCACCGCAACTTTTTGATGGGTTATTATTGGTTTTAGGTGATTTGTCGTTGTGGAACCCCAGGCACAAATTGCATAGGTGAGACAGGGGTAGATCAGAGAATAGTATAGTGTAAGTAGTGCTGTTTGTGGTACATAGTAATGCATCACTGAGAGGATACCAACTGTTTTAGAAACTTCTTTTATGTGTTGGATATGGGTGCCGTTATCAAGGTGCAGACCCAGGAATTTTCCCTCATTATATTTAGCAATAAGGGTGTTGATCAGCATAATGTTTAGTTGGTCCTCACTCACTATACTCTCAAACACAATGTAAATGGATTTGTCTATATTAAGTGTAAGCTTATTGACAGTCAACCAGGTTGCTACTTTTGCAAGCTCTTCATTAACCCTTTGACTGTCACAACCCAAAATCCTGAGGTGTCTCCTGGTGTCGAAAAATTAAAAAAAAAAAAAAATATTTTTCTTATGAAATGACAGAGAATCTTTTCCCGATGGTAATGACACCAAAAGAGCAAAATTTGATGAAAAACTGACGGATTACGCTCTCGCGAAGATAGCAACCTCGGTGATATTTACAAATCGGCGATTTCACCTACTTTGAGCCCTATTTTCGGCTAATTCCATTGTTCCAGTCGACCAAACTCATAGCTATTTCTTTAGAACTCCATTTGTTCTATCGACAGAGTACAAGAAACTGCCCATTTACCGATTTCAACTGCCCAATAACGTGGTCAGAAATTTACAATTTGGCCAATTTCATGCAAACTAAAAAAAATGCCAATTTCAAAATAGGGTCCAGAATGAACAATACAGACATTCCTGGCTCTAAAATAACATTTTCTTTGTTCATCTGTCACGTCTCCAGGCCCCTCTGATATTACTCTTGCTTTCTATTTTGAATTTTTATTCAAACAAAAAATAGAAGATTTACTGTTATGCAGACTACTGCAATACTGTAATAATTGTATAAATAACATCAACCCATTCATGACTGCATATTGGAATGGCTAGTTGGACAGTTATTGGACAATGACATCATTTGTTTACTTTTGAACATTGGCAAAAATCAAATATTTCCCCTACTTTGAGCTCCATTTCAAGGTTCTTTTCATAGTAAAGCCAATCAAAATCACCTCTATTTCTATAATATGTTTTCCATTCTATCAAATGAGACCAAGAAAACAAGAATACAACCATAAATACTACATGAAAATACACCACAAAGTCTGCGTTTTAATCCAAAAACACGGTCAGAGTTTTTTTCCTCATTATGCACCGTGTGCTGCAGAATTTTTTTTTTTATACGGTGCACACTGACCACACAGACCCTTTCTCTCACATGTGGGCCTACCAGTTTTCTCCTGCTTGATTTGAAGCTGCTAGAATTTTTGAGTATACAGGTACCATCTGACTTTTGACCAAGCTTGGTTCTGACCAACCGGTCTTAAGTCAAAATGTACATAAGTCGAACCTTTGAAAATTGCCGACATACTGGGTAGGAAATAATCTCAAACCTTTCCTATATAAACTACCTACATAGTACTGTAATGTAATGTACAATCATTATTGCATTCTTTTTACCATAATTTACTTCTATTGATATATTTTAATCATTTATGTAATGTATAATATGTATACGTACATGTTAGTGAACTGTATTGTAAATTTTACATCTCATAACAGTACCATATGTTACCGTTATCTTTAAGTATTGTCGACACAGTGGAATGGGAGAATACCACTGGTAGTGTCATCGTGCCAGAATGTCCTATAACCTATACCCTAAGTAAAGAGAAACAACTCTGGAACATGTGTAATATGTATCCGGCTGGCTGGCTAGCCGGCCGGCAGGCCGGGTGGATGGGTGGTGATTGGTTGGCTGCCTGGCTTACTGAACTTGGCTGTCTCTCTATCTGTATCTGTCTGTCTCTATCTCTCTCTCTCTCTCACAGTTACACGTAAGTAAAGTTATCATACATAGCATAAGTTACCTAGGATAACCCAAAAATCCAGACAAAGTGCTATACAGTGGATCTGTGCTCCAGTGCCCTAAATTAATAATAATATTAATAAATATTATTATTATTACAATAATACGTATGTTATTTTTTTTTTTATTATCACACCGGCCGATTCCCACCAAGGCAGGGTGGCCCGAAAAAGAAAAACTTTCACCATCATTCACTCCATCACTGTCTTGCCAGAAGGGTGCTTTACACTACAGTTTTTAAACTGCAACATTAACACCCCTCCTTCAGAGTGCAGGCACTGTACTTCCCATCTCCAGGACTCAAGTCCGGCCTGCCGGTTTCCCTGAATCCCTTCATAAATGTTACTTTGCTCACACTCCAACAGCACGTCAAGTATTAAAAACCATTTGTCTCCATTCACTCCCATCAAAACACGCTCACGCATGCCTGCTGGAAGTCCAAGCCCCTCGCACACAAAACCTCCTTTACCCCCTCCCTCCAACCCTTCCTAGGCCGACCCCTACCCCGCCTTCCTTCCACTACAGACTGATACACTCTTGAAGTCATTCTGTTTCGCTCCATTCTCTCTACATGTCCGAACCACCTCAACAACCCTTCCTCAGCCCTCTGGACAACAGTTTTGGTAATCCCGCACCTCCTCCTAACTTCCAAACTACGAATTCTCTGCATTATATTCACACCACACATTGCCCTCAGACATGACATCTCCATGCCTCCAGCCTTCTCCTCGCTGCAACATTCATCACCCACGCTTCACACCCATATAAGAGCGTTGGTTAAAACTATACTCTCATACATTCCCCTCTTTGCCTCCAAGGACAAAGTTCTTTGTCTCCACAGACTCCTAAGTGCACCACTCACTCTTTTTCCCTCATCAATTCTATGATTCACCTCATCTTTCATAGACCCATCCGCTGACACGTCCACTCCCAAATATCTGAATACGTTCACCTCCTCCATACTCTCTCCCTCCAATCTGATATTCAATCTTTCATCACCTAATCTTTTTGTTATCCTCATAACCTTACTCTTTCCTGTATTCACTTTAATTTTCTTCTTTTGCACACCCTACCAAATTCATCCACCAATCTCTGCAACTTCTCTTCAGAATCTCCCAAGAGCACAGTGTCATCAGCAAAGAGCAGCTGTGACAACTCCCACTTTGTGTGTGGGTTCTTTATCTTCTAACTCCACGCCTCTTGCCAAGACCCTCGCATTTACTTCTTTTAAAAACCCCATCTATAAATATATTTAACAACCACGGTTTAACACACACACTTGTTAAGGCCCTTTTTTAACTGGGAAAAAATTTCCCTCTTTCCTACAACTCTAATTTGGGAGCCTACTATCCTCGTAAAAACTTTCACGCTTTCAGTAACCTACCCCCTACACCATACACTTGAAACCCATTGCACATGCCCCCCTATCCCCCTGTCTCCCCTTTTCCAAATCCATAAATCCACAAAGACCTTTTTACCCTTTCTAAATACGTTCACTTATATTTTTTTCAGTAAACAATGGTCCACACACCCCTACCTTCCAAAGCCTCCTTGTTCATCTGCAATCCATTCTCCGTCTTTACTTTTAAATTTCCCTTTCAATTAAAACTCACCTACACTTTCCAGGTACCCCAAACAGACTTATCCCCCCTAAAATTTTTTGCACTCTCTTTATCCCCCCCTTGCCTTTATAAAAAGGAATATGCATGCCTCTGCCAATCCCTAGGTACCTTACCCTTTTTTATACATTTATAAATAATTGACCAACCACTCCAAAACTATACCCCCCCTGCTTTTAACATTTCTATCTTTACCCAACAATCCGGCTGCCTTCCCCCCTTTCATTTTACCTCTGCCTCACGAATTTTTCCCCCACACTCACAACGGCTCTTCCTCACCCTACAAGATGTTATTCCCCCCTTGGGGCCCTTTAACACGAAATCACAGCTTTCCTATTTCAAAACATTTAAACTTTCCTCAAAATATTCCCTTTCCACCCCCCAATACCTAAAAACTCTCCTTTAATAATTTCCCTCTCTTTTTTTAACAACAAACCCATTTGTTCCTGGGCCCCTTTTTTAACTTTTTAATCTCCCCAAAAACTTTTTCTTTTTTTTCAAAAAAAATTTTGTGTAACGTATGTACTAATACAAATAATAAAATTATTGTTTTTAAAAATATAATATAAATAGTGTTCATCATTACCTTTAAAAATCTGTAGTCTTAATGTAGAGTGAGAGGCGGTAAAAAAAGTTTAAAATGAAAAAAAACGAGAGAGAGGAAAAGGGGTTAGAAGGCTCGCAAGTTTTGAAAATACTAGTTGTTGTTTTTGTTACCAGCCCGAACAAAGGGTTTTTTTCATTTGTAAAGCCGCCCAGAAAAGCATCTCTATTTATTTTAATTTATATTTTTCTAGCAGTTTATTTTTAAAATTTTTAAAAAAAAAATATAGATGGATTAAGCAAAATGTCTGTATTAACTTTTTTTACACACATTTAAGTGCCCGGATGTTTAAATATTGTGTTATTTTTTTCATTTTTAAATGGGGCGTCTTAAACCCAAAAAAACACTCTAATGTTTTTAATGTGTATTGCACCCATCACGGGTGCAAGATTGGATTTTTAAAGCAGTTAGGCTTACATTTATTCTTCTAGAGTGTTATCAGGGTTTTTGATATTTATATTGTTTATTATGCCGTTTGATGAATTTTGATAGATAAATAAGCTGTAAGCGATATTAGGTCTATTTAAGATGTGACAACTCGCTTCATGTGTAATACCGTTGGTTTTGACGGGGTCAAAACAGAGACGAGCAGACAAGACAGACCCCACAGGTAGACAGAAAAACAAAAATACGGTAGACAAAAGCGACATGCAGGCAGACTGAAAAACAACACCTGGAGAATAAAGACAATAACAGACAGAAAGGGCAAAACAGACAGGTTTAGTCAAAAAGGAAAACAAATTTGAGAGTTCGGAGTAAAAGCCTTTTTGCTTCTTGCCACAGTCCCCAGTGCAAAAATTTAAATTCCTCTTTGGGCCATGGTGAAATTTTTTGTCCGTTAGTACAGTTAATACAGTATGAGCTACTGTATGGCGGGTTACCCAAAATGATGCTGCCTTTCATGGCACATTGCCATGCGAGTATCGTCAAAAACTGTACGGGTATCTCGCGGGCCCCGCCCCGTGCCAGATGCACGGTCTTAACGAGTGGACGTATGTCAAACGGTCCTAAGCGGAGGTAGGTGTTTCCTTACTGCTGGCTTGGTGACCAAGGCTACGAATTTTCACTCCCCAAAAAGCATGCGGCCTCCCAATTTTTTTTTTAGTGCACCACTGGGCGGCAGACCCCTTCTTAATGAAACCCACCCGATTTTCCAGTAATTTGAAGCTGCTAGAATTTTTGGCGTATCAATCATCACCAACATTTGGGTCGTAAGATGTATCTATTGGCACCCAAAAGTGAAAAGGGTTTTGGAGAATTTACAAATTTTTTTTAAGTCATGTGAAGCAACACCACCAAACTGGGGGTGAACCTGTTTATATTCTTTGAAGAAAAATAAACTTAATGCCCAGGAACAGAAGGTGATAGGTCTGCCCAAGGAATGTGCAGGTAGCTCCAAAATTCCTTGGTCAGGAGTCCTGATGGGACCAAAAGGTTCCCCTGTAATGTACCTGGCAGTAGATAGGCTGTTTTAAGAGGAGGACATCAAGAAAGGTTCTTGGGAAACCCCTCATTTTGGGGTGGTCGCGGGTGATGGGCTTTAACTTCTCCAAACCGGGGGGGATCACGTGCGGGCCTGTATCAAGTCAAAGATAACATTAACCCTTTTTTACAGGACATCTGCAAATGATTAGACAGCTGGTAAGTTTCTGCAATGGTCCTGAGAACACTATTGAAACTTTAAAGTACATTTTGAAGGGGTAAAAATTGGTGTAACCCAATAAAGTCAGGGTGAATCACTGCCATTAAGGAAAGTGGGTGCAGGAGGGAAGAGGAGCGATTGGTGGAATGATGATGTAAAGAGAGTAGTAAGGGAGAAAAAGTTAGCATATGAGAAGTTTTTACAAAGTAGAAGTGATGCAAGGAGGGAAGAGTATATGGAGAAAAGAGAGAGAAGTTAAGAGAGTGGTTGAAGCAATGTAAAAAAGAGCCAAATGAGAGAGTGGGTGAGATGTTATCAACAAATTTTGTTGAAAAAAAGAAAAAGTTTTGGAGTGAGATTAACAGTTAAGAAAGCCTAGAGAACAAATGGATTTGTCAGTTAAAAATAGGAGAGGAGAGTTATTAAATGGAGAGGTAGAGGTTTTGGGGAAAGATGGAAGGAATATTTTGAGGAATTGTTAAATGTTGATGAAGATGGGGAAGCTGTGATTTCGTGTATAGGGCAAGGAGGAATAACATCTTGTAGGAGTGAGGAAGAGCCAGTTGTGAGTGTGGGGGAAGTTCGTGAGGCAGTAGGTAAAATGAAAGGGGGTAAGGCAGCCGGGATTGATGGGATAAAGATAGAAATGTTAAAAGCAGGTGGGGATATAGTTTTGGAGTGGTTGGTGCAATTATTTAATAAATGTATGGAAGAGGGTAAGGTACCTAGGGATTGGCAGAGAGCATGCATAGTTCCTTTGTATAAAGGCAAAGGGGATAAAAAAGAGTGCAAAAAAATTATAGGGGGATAAGTCTGTTGAGTGTACCTGGTAAAGTGTATGGTAAAAGTTATAATTGAAAGAATTAAGAGTAAGACGGAGAATAGGATAGCAGATGAACAAGGAGGCTTTAGGAAAGGTTTGGGGTGTGTGGACCAGGTGTTTTACAGTGAAACATATAAGTGAACAGTATTTAGATAAGGCTAAAGAGGTCTTTGTGGCATTTATGGATTTGGAAAAGGCGTATGACAGGGTGGATAGGGGGGCAATGTGGCAGATGTTGCAAGTGTATGGTGTAGGAGGTAGGTTACTGAAAGCAGTGAAGAGTTTTTACGAGGATAGTGAGGCTCAAGTTAGAGTATGTAGGAAAGAGGGAAATTTTTTCCCAGTAAAAGTAGGCCTTAGACAAGGATGTGTGATGTCACCGTGGTTGTTTAATATATTTATAGATGGGGTTGTAAGAGAAGTAAATGCGAGGGTCTTGGCAAGAGGCGTGGAGTTAAAAGATAAAGAATCACACACAAAGTGGGAGTTGTCACAGCTGCTCTTTGCTGATGACACTGTGCTCTTGGGTGATTCTGAAGAGAAGTTGCAGAGATTGGTGGATGAATTTGGTAGGGTGTGCAAAAGAAGAAAATTAAAGGTGAATACAGGAAAGGACTAAGGTTATGAGGATAACAAAAAGATTAGGTGATGAAAGATTGAATATCAGATTGGAGGGAGAGAGTATGGAGGAGGTGAACGTATTCAGATATTTGGGAGTGGACGTGTCAGCGGATGGGTCTATGAAAGATGAGGTGAATCATAGAATTGATGAGGGAAAAAGAGTGAGTGGTGCACTTAGGAGTCTGTGGAGACAAAGAACTTTGTCCTTGGAGGCAAAGAGGGGAATGTATGAGATTTATAGTTTTACCAACGCTCTTATTTGGGTGTGAAGCGTGGGTGATGAAATGTTGCAGCGAGGAGAAGGCTGGAGGCAGTGGAGATGTCATGTCTGAGGGCAATGTGTGGTGTGAATTAATGCAGAGAATTCGTAGTTTGGAAGTTAGGAGAAGGTGCGGGATTACCAAAACTGTTGTCCAGAGGGCTGAGGAAGGATTGTTGAGGTGGTTCGGACATGTAGAGAGAATGGAGCGAAACAGAATGACTTCAAGAGTGTATCAGTCTGTAGTGGAAGGAAGGCGGGGTAGGGGTCGGCCTAGGAAGGGTTGGAGGGAGGGGGTAAAGGAGGTTTTGTGTGCGAGGGGCTTGGACTTCCAGCAGGCATGCGTGAGCGTGTTTGATAGGAGTGAATGGAGACAAATGGTTTTTAATACTTGACGTGCTGTTGGAGTGTGAGCAAAGTAACATTTATGAAGGGATTCAGGAAAACCGGCAGGCCGGACTTGAGTCCTGGAGATGGGAAGTACAGTGCCTGCACTCTGAAGGAGGGGTGTTAGTGTTGCAGTTTAAAAACTGTAGTGTAAAGCACCCTTCTGGCAAGACAGTGATGGAGTGAATGATGGTGAAAGTTTTTCTTTTTCGGGCCACCCTGCCTTGGTGGGAATCGGCCGGTGTGATAATAAAAAAAAAAATAATTAATAATGTCTGATCAAAGAAGAGAAAGGTAGCTGCATCCTTTCAAAGATACGGTACTATGTACCCCAAGCAGCTCTTCTTGCTTTTTACCAATCTCTCATTTACCCTTACCTCACCTATGGTATTTATGCATGGGGCTCAACTACAGCAAATCACCTTAAACCTTTAATAACCCAACAAAAAGCTGCAGTGCGATTGATTACCAACTCCTGCACTAGACAGCACACTCCACTGCATTTTAAGACCCTTAACTTGCCTAACATACAAAATGCCCACACTTATTATGGAATATCTTTTTCAAAGGGTAATGAAACCAAAAGTATGAAATTTGATGGAAAACGTGGAAATATTCTCTCACGAAGTTGGCAGTTTCTGCGATATTTACGCATCGGTGACTTCACCCACTTTGAGCCCAATTTTGGGCCGATTCAATTGTTCCAGTCAACAAAACTCATTACTATTTCATTAGTACTTCTTTCATTCCATTGATAGTGTACAAGAAACTGCCCATTTACCTATTTTAACTACCTAAGAAAGTGATCAGAAATTGGTAATTTGGCCAATTTCACACAAAATTCAAGGCCAATTTCAAAATAGGGTATAGAATAAACAAGGCAAACATTCCTGGCACTAAAATAACATTTTGTCTGTTCAGTAGTCATGTCTCCAGGCTCTTCTTATATTACGCTTGTTTTCAGTTTTGAATTTTTATTAACACAAAAAAAAAACACAGAAGATTTACTGTGATGCAGACTACTGCATTATTGTAATAATTCTACAAATAATATCAGTGACTTAATGAAGGCATATTAGACCTACCAGCTGATGTGAATTAGACATGTGACATGAATTGTTTACTCTTGAACATCGGCAAAAATCTAACATTTCTGCTACTTTGAGCTCAATTTCAAGCTACTTTCAGTCTCAAAACCAATCAAAGTCATCTCTATTCCTGTAATATATCTTCCATTCTATCAAACCAGATCAAGAAAATGAGAATACACCCACAAAAATTATATGAAAATACACTGCAACAACGCTATTTTATACCAAAATCAAGGTTAAAGTTTTTCTCCCCATTAGGCACTGCACAGGGCAGGATTATTTTTATATGGTGCATAATTTCCTCATCGACCCATTCTCTTCTATCTAGGTCCAAATTTACTATTCACTGCTTATCTGAGTTGAGCTCGTGGTGTAGAACTATGGCACAAACAGAGACTGCAAACCCGTAGAACTATGACACAGACAATGCAAGAGTTAATCATGTCCCCAGGCCTCTCCTATATTACACATGCCTTCTATTTTGAATACATCACACAAAAAAAATTGAAGAGTTGTCCTTTTTCTCGAATAATAAAATATAAACCAGAATGATTGCTCATGGTTTAAGGTGTCCCAATAATTGAATCGGACCTAGTAAATACCCACAAAACAGACTAAAGGGTGTAAGAGACAGATGTCCTCAAGAAAATTCACAAGCTGTGTAGAGGGTCATCTGAACTGTGTTGTCAGGATGCTTCTGCAAGATAGTGATTAAATAAATGATGGTAAAAGTATTTTCCCCATATCTCTGTCATCTCATTAACTTTAAAATTCACAGGACTGACTGTTACCTGGTAAATGTTAATATTTATACGAATAACCAAAACATATGAGATCTGAGTGTGGAAAATTAATGAGCACACCGTGAAGCAATATAGTCAAGCACTAAGTTTATTACTGTGTATAAGACTGCACATATCCTGGGGCTATTACTGTGTAAGACTGCACATATCCTGGGGTTATTACTGTAAGACTGCACATATCCTGGGGATATTACTGTAAGACTGCACATATCCTAGGGCTATTACTGTGTGTAAGATTGTACATATCCTGGGGTTATTACTGTGTAAGAGTGCACATATCCTGGGGTTATTACTGCATAAGACTGCACATATGCTGGGGTTATTACTGTGCAAGATGGCACATATCCTGGGGCTATTAATGTGTGTAAGACTGCACATAACCTGGGGATAATACTGTAAGACTGCACATATCCTAGGGTTATTACTGTGTGTAAGATTGTACATATCCTGGGGTTATTACTGTGTGTAAGAGAGCACATATCCTGGGGTTATTACTGTGTAAGACTGCACATATGCTGGGGTTATTACTGTGCAAGATGGCACATATCCTGGGGTTATTACTGTGTGTAAGACTGCACAAATCCTTGGGTTATTACTGTGTAAGACTGCACATATCCTGAGGGTATTACTGTGTTTAAGATTGCACATATCCTGGGGTTATTACTGTGTGTAAGACTGCACATATCCTGGGGTTATTACTGTGTGTAAGATTTCACATATCCTGGGGCTATTACTGTAAGACTGCACATATCCTGAGGGTATTAGTGTGTGTAAGACTGCACATATCCTGGGGTTATTACTGTGTGTAAGATTGCACATATCCTTGGGTTATTACTGTGTAAGACTGCACACATCCTGAGGGTATTACTGTGTAAGACTGCACATATCCTGAGGGTATTACTGTGTTTAAGACTGCACATATCCTGGGGTTATTACTGTGTGTAAGACTGCACATATCCTGGGGCTATTAATGTGTGTAAGACTGCACATATCCTGGGGTTATTACTGTGTGTAAGATTTCACATATCCTGGGGTTATTACTGTAAGACTGCACATATCCTGAGGGTATTAGTGTGTGTAAGACTGCACATATCCTGGGGTTATTACTGTGTGTAAGACTGCACATATCCTGGGGCTATTAATGCGTGTAAGACTGCACATATCCTGGGGTTATTACTGTAAGACTGCACATATCCTGAGGGTATTAGTGTGTGTAAGACTGCACATATCCTGGGGTTATTACTGTGTGTAAGATTGCACATATCCTGGGGGTATTACTGTGTAAGATTGCACATATCCTGGGGCTATTACTGTAAGACTGCACATATCCTGGGGTTATTACTGTGTGTAAGACTGCACATATCCTGGGATTATTACTGTGTGTAAGACTACACATATCCTGGGGATATTACTGTGTAAGACTGCACATATCCTGGGGCTATTACTGTAAGACTGCATATCCTGGGGTTATTACTGTGTAAGATGGCACATATCCTGGGGCTATTACTGTGTGTAAAACTCCACATATCCTGGGGTTATTACTGTGTGTGAGATTGCACATCCTGGGGTTATTACTGTGTGTAAGACTGCACATATCCTGGGGATATTACTAAGATTGCACATTTTTTTTTTCAACAAGTCGGCCGTCTCCCACCGAGGCAGGGTGACCCCAAAAAAAAAAGATTGCACATATCCTGGGGATATTACTGTGTGTAAGACTGCACATATCCTGGGGATATTACTGTGTGTAAGACTGCACATATCCTGAAGGTATTACTGCATAAGATTGCACATATCCTGGGGCTATTACTGTGTATAAGATTGCACATATCCTAGGGATATTACTGTAAGACTGCACATATCCTGGGGATATTACTGTGTGTAAGACTGCACATATCCTAAGGTTATTACTTCTCTACTGAGCCAAGACTGTATCCTAGGACAGCATCATTTGTTTTCTTCTTCAATTTACATTATTTGAAAGATGTGGAAAAATGTGAAGCGTTCTAACAATTTAACCGATAGTAAAGGTTCCTTTACCTTTAATAGTTATGCCTGAGGCCATGTTTTCCTGATGACAACCTGGTCAACCAGACTCTTGGTGATAGTAGCCCAGATGCCTACATACCTATCACAATCTGGCTGATCAGACACTAAGAGTCAGGGAGGTCTACCTGTTACATGCAGGTAGTGAGGGAGGTCTATCTGTTACATGCAGGTAGTGAGGAAGGTCTACCTGTTACATGCAGGTAGCGAGGGAGGTCTACCCATTACATGCAGGTAGTGAGGGAGGTCTACCTGTTACATGCAGGTAGCAAGGGAGGTCTATCTGTTACATGCAGGTAGTGAGGGAGGTCTACCTGTTACATGCAGGTAGTGAGGAAGGTCTACCGGATATTTGCAGGTAGTAAGGGTGGTCTATCCAAATTTCGTTCACCCTAACTTCGTTCCAGCAGTATTTCTAATATCCATCAGTGTTGAGGTTTTCGAGTATAGGACTGTGAGTGTTAACACATTATTCTGTGTGACTGCAGCACCCTGCTTCCACAGGATTTATTCAACACCTTCCCTAATTTTCACAGCAGTAAGTTATTATTGCAGTGAACAGATTGAGAACCAGGCCTTCAAGTATCCCTCTCTCTTCTCCATTAAATGAGGGACTTGAGCTAGAGCCCACCACAGCCATGCTGGTGTGGGATTCATCTGAAAAACCTACATTTTGTATGGGTTGTAGTGTGTTCAGCAGAAGTTTGTGGTTACAGGAAAGTGGATAAAGGGAGGGAAGAAGAACAGTGATTGGTGGAATGATGATGTAAAGAGTAGTAAGAGAAAAAGTTAGCATATGAGAGGTTTTTACAAAGTAGAAGTGATAGAAGGAGGGAGGAGTATATGGAGAGAAAAGGAGAGGTTAAGAGAGTGGTGCAACCATGCAAATGAAAAGCAAATGACAGAGTGAATGAGATACTATCAAGAAATTTTGTCGAGAATAAGAAAAAGTTTTGGTGTGAGATTAATAAGTTGAGAAAGCCTAGGGAATGCATGGATTTGATAGTTAAAAATAGGCGAGGAGAGTTATCAGACAGAGAGTTAGAGGTATTGGGAAGATGGAGGGAATATTCTGAGGAACTGCTGAATGTTGATGAAGATAGGGAAGCTGTGATTTCGTGCGCTGTCCAGAGAGGTATAATATAATGTAGGAGTGAGGAAGAGCCAGTTGTGAGTGTGGGGGAGGTGAGTGAGAGGGTAGAATGAGACGTGGTAACACAACTGGAATTGATGGGATTAAAACAGAAATATATAAAAAGCAGGTGGGGATATAGTTTTGGAGTGGTTGGTGCTTTTATTTAATAAATGTAAGAATAAAGGTAAGGTACCTAGTGACTGGCAGAGGGTGTGCATAGTCCTTTTGTATAAAGGCAAAGGGGCCAGAAGAGAGTACAAAAATTATAGGGGAATCAGCCTGCTGAGTATATCAGATAAAGTGTATGGTAGAGTTATTATTGAAAGAATTAAGAGTACGACAGAGCAGGATCGCAGATGAACAAGGAGGCTTTAGGAAGGAAAGGGGATGTGAAGACCAAGTATATACAGTAAAGCATAAAGGTTAACAGTATTTATATAAGAGTAAAGAGGTTTTTGTTACATTTATGGGTTTGGAAAAGGCCTATGATAGGGTATAGAGGGGGTAATGTGGCAGATGTTGCAAATGTATGGGATAGGTGGTAGGCTACTGAGAGCAGTGAAGTTTTTATGAAAATAGTGAGACTCAGGTTAGAGTACATAGGAGAGAGGGAGATTATTTCCCAGTAAAAGTATTCCTTAGACAAGGATGTGTGATGTCACCATGGTTGTTCAATATATTTATAAATGGGGATGTAAGAGAAGTGAATGCTTGGATGTTGGCAAGAGGTGTGGGATAAAAAGATGAAGAATCTAACACAAAGTGGGAGTTGTCACAGTTGCTTTTTGCTGATGACATTGTGCTTTTGGGAGATTCTGAATAGAAGCTGAAGAGGTTGGTTACCAAGTTTGGAAGGATAGGTAAAAGAAGGCAATTAAAAGTGAACATAGAATGAGTAAGGTGAAGAGGATAACAAAAAAAAATTAGGTAATGAAAGGTTGGATATCAGATTGGAGGGAGGGAGTATGGAAGAAGTGAATATATTCAGATATTTGGGAGTGGACTTGTCAGCAGATAGGTCTATGAAAGATAAGGTGAATCACAGAATTGATGAGGGGGAAAACGTGAGTGGTGCATTGAAGAGTCTGTGGAGACAAAGGACGTTATCCATGGAGATAGAGAGAGGAATGTATGAGAGTATAATTAAGCCAATGGTTTTATATGGATGTTGTGGCATGTAAAGAGTACGTAACTTTTATTCAGCACATGTATACACCCTCATTGAAAGGCTATGTCCCCTAACCAGTGAACCGGTACTAGGGTCAGACAATGGGGCCCCGTTGTTCGATCAGTACCCAGGTTCAGCCAATGAGTAGATCGTTTGGCAATAGCAGAGGTGTTGTGGGCACCACCCGCCTGTCTGCCCTTGTCATTTCCATTCTAGAGCTGGTTGAAGCACGGTCTGCTCTCTAGTGGCATCTATTCTGCCTTGCTTACCGTGGCATGCACTAATACCTATTGTTGTACATAGTGTATATAGTGTACATACTTCTGTTCTTACTTGGTGAAAGGATAATATAAATCAAAAGTTTTTCTGCTGTGTTTATTTTGCTCCCTTTACACCCAGGATAACAGGCCTATGAATTCCTGGGTTGTAATAGATATGAAGCACATGTGGTGAATGTTGCAACAACGAGAAAGATAGAGGCAGTGGAGATGTCATGTCTGAGGGCAATGTGTGGTGTGAATATTATGCAGAAAATCCAGAATTTGGAAATTAGAAGGTGGTGTGGGGTTACTAAAAGTATTATCCAGAGGGCTGAGGAAGGGTTGTCGAGGTGGTTTGGACATTTAGAGAGGCTGGAATAAAACAGAATGACGTGGAGAGTAAATAAATCTGTAGTGGAAGGAAGGCAGGGTAGGGGTCAACCTAGGAAAGGTTGGGGGAAGAGGTAAAGGTGGTTTTGCATAAGAGGGGCTTGTATTTCCTGCAAGCATGCATTAGCGTGTTAGATAGGAGCAAGTGGAGACGAATGGTTTTTATGACTTGACATGTTGTTGGGATGTGAGCAAAATAACATCTATGAAAGGATTTGGGGAAACCGGCAGGTCGGAGGTGGGAAGTACAGTGCCTGCACACTGAAGGAGGAGTGTTGATGTTGCAGTTTTTTAACTGCAGTGTAGGCACACCTCTGGCAAGACAGTGATGGAGTGAGTGTTGATGAAAGCGTTTCTTCTTTTTCGGGTCATCATGTCTTGGTGGGAAATGGCTGACGAATTAGTAAAAAAAAAACAGTATATGGTCTCCATACATTTTCTAGCTCAGTTATCTCTGATGCTTTGAAAGATGCAGCAAACACAGGACATTTTAGTGTCATAAAAACACTGTTAATTTGAACGGCACCATCAATAAAATGGTCATTCTTGTTTTGAAATGTCTCATATTCCAGCCTGTCATTTTCCTGGCTTTTACAGCATCCGCCACACTTGGTCCACTAAAATGACACATCATTGGACAATTATTCATAAGTCATTTAGTTGTTCCTTCTGTTCTCTGTGATTCTCTGTCTGCATTCTGTATGCTACACTGTACTTGTTTTGAATTCTTCAATCTTCACATATGAATGCAACAGAAATTTATCACCATAGAACAGTTTTTCATTTACCTACTGGAAAATTTTGATGACAGCTGATTATAATTTTTGTCTTTTCTACAAAAGTGACTTTTAGCTTCTTTTTTAGCAAGGCCCTCAAAAGATGATACAAAACAATGACTGCTCTTATTACTTTACAATGAACTTATTACTTTACAATGACTGGGTTTTGTTTTACTTACTACCACTCTGTAATCTGTATATTAGAAACTTCACATACTTTTCCTGTAATACTAGCCTAACCTAACCTCACTCTCTGGGCTACCATTCCATGGTCACAATTGTCTAATACCATTTGCAAAATCCTTGTAGATTGCCTTTCCCTTCCCAAGCCTCAGCGACTTTCTCATATGTTTTCTTGGTTGTGACATCCATTATCTTCCTACTCTAAATCTACAATGACTTGGGCTGTGAAGGTCATAATTATCCATAAAACTGGTGCCTCAGCAACCCTTCAAATAAATTTACTGGTGAGTAAGTTTTGTCTTCACTCTGCTGGCTCTAACATTTAACCTGAATCTAAGCTCCTCTTCCAAAGTAAATTGAGTACTCATGCTAACCATAATTTGCATAATTTCTGAAATAAACCCAGGTACTGTGAGCATGTGTATTTCTCATCTGAGGTCCACAGGACTTGTAGGGTCTGCGGAGTTCATGAAAAAAATTACCTTGGTCTTCAACTCTCATAGCAGTGAAAGGATCATTGAAAACTGATACATGTATGGTTTTGCTTATGTCTTTCTTTTTACCAGTGAAAAATCTTCAAGTAGAGCATCAATATTGTAAGAAGCTTTTTACATGGACTCTGCACACATGAAAAAATATTTAGGATACTTCTTAATTTTTTGAATGCCTCTTTTGTTCCTTCTGTGTTTTTATCTGGGATGAATGACTTAGTTTCTGTTCTACATCAGTAACTTCTTGATGTACATTTTCTTTCTTTTGTCACATTCCTCTGCATTAAACAGTTCCACAACCGTTTCCTTCTTCTGTAAAGTCTTCGACAATGACCAGTTTTTAGGTGTTCTCAAATGGACATATTTGACACAGAGTTTATGTGCTTCTTCATACAGGTTGGGTGTCATTCATTGTTTAGGACAGTTCCCCAGGGAATACTTGCTACTGTAGCTCTTGTTTATGTTGTTCAAATCAGTTCTTGGATTGTTGAAGTTGAATTTACCAAGTCTGGCCTCACTGAGTTGACTATTGCTTAGGTTCTCTCTCTTCATCTACACATATTTAGGTTTTGTTTGACTTCAGTGATCTGATGTAAGTATTGGAGACTGTTCT